CAAACCACCCTCAAATATTTTGCGTTACAATAAGGTAAGCTTGCCATAATACACCAGTCAATCCTGGGAAAATCTGTTTCTTTTCCAGCTGCTGAGAAGATTTGCACCTAAACTCAGAGGGAACGAGGCAACTTGAGGGAGTGGAGGCGGCAGATAACGTCATAGTTCTGCTACTCAGAAAGGCCCATGATTTCAATCCTTCAAGCCCTAATTGTGCTTCGCCACTGCCTAACACATGGTGGACGTAGCCCTACAGAGTAAGAAACAGTAGTGGGATAATGTCCGAACCAGTGGAATGAGGAATTCATAAACAGTGAAATGCAAGCATTCTAGTATACCCTAGCATTTCAAACTATGCCCCAAATCCAAATGAGAAAAGCCATGCAATGGTTCCCCTGCTCTGGGAGTTGTCCATCATTTGACAGGTTGAAAACTGACACTCTTATCCTTATGCAACAGCATGAGAACACGGGGATTCTGGGAAATGCCTCCATGTTGCTTCCTATCCCATTTCCAGATCTGCACCTCACTCCATAATTAGGTTTGAGATGAGGGCAGAGGAATCAATAAGGCCCATTTATCTGTACAGCAGTATTGATTTCCAGTGCTAGCATATCCTAGGTATCACAAAACATTGGTTTTGACAGAGAACTTCATAATACTCTGTAATATAAATATTATAATAGTCTTTGGAGATAGACCGCCCTCAACGGACTACCCCCAAAGGACTGCAGCTTGTGATGGAAGAAGGAATGTCTACTTACCCTTAAAACAAGGTGTGAGAAGGACTTGAGTGCTTGGGACGAGATTTGCGCCCCACCACTACCCTTGAGGTATGAGTTGACACCTTGGGATTCTCCACATGATCCCATGACATCACTCTTTGGTGAATTTTGTACAAGTCTTGCTCCTGATTCCAGAAAGTCGAGATGCCTCTCTTGAGGCTTAAGTACCAACAGTAAAAACCTGTGGGCTTCCTGAAGTTCAACTCCTTGAAGCCCCAGCCAGCATATCCCATGGTGAGATGTTTTGGGAGTCAGAAGTTCAAAACACCTGGAGGACCACAGTTGAGACAACTACTGATTTAAACTAAAATTGGTTGGTATTCCATTCCTGATCTTTATCCTTTGGTCTTGCTCAGCAGTAAGATAGATCCAGCAACTCTTCTGAAACCTAATTTCACTGCTGGGTTGTGTTTTCCCACCCCTTGTAGAACAAAGCTAGGCAAAACCAAGTGTTTCACATGTTGGACTGTAAATGCCATCAAGCTTGGCACTTAGTGTCAGTGTTAAAACTAACAAAGCAATGCCCCTCCCCCCAATCTGTTGCGTCTGGATGAATGTGGAGCACTGATTCATTAAGATATCTCTTAAAGGTGGTAGGGCTGACCTACAAAACCTTGAATGACTCTGGGTCAGAAAATCTAAAAGACCAACTCTTGGGTATGAGCCTCTCCAGAGGCCCTGTTGTATGGCCCAATATTCCAAAATGGCAAGTATATAATCATGTAGACAGAGCTTAAGTGAAGTGGTGGCGCTGCGGGTTGAACTGTAGAAGCCTCTGTGCTGCAAGGTTGGCAGACCAGCAGTTGTAAGATCAAATCCACACGACAGAGTGAGCTCCTTTCGCTTGTCCCAGCTCCTGCCACGTAGACGTTTGAAAGCATGCAAATGCGAGTAGATAAATAGGTACCACCACGGTGGGAAGGTAACGGCATTCCGTGTCTAGTCATGCTGGCCACATGACCACAAAAACTGTTTACAGACAAAAAATGCTAGCTCTATGGCTTGGAAACAGGGATGAGTACGGCCCCCTAGAGTCAGACACAACTGGAGTAAATGTCAAGGGGAACCTTTACCTGTCCTAGACAGAGCTTTCTTTGTAGCAGCAGCTCAATTGTCAAATTCCTGCTAGAGGAAAGGCAGGTTGGCTCCATCTTTGTGGAACGTCTGCAAGGTAGCCAAAACTCATCTGGCCTTTGTTTTTTAAGGCTATATTTTGCTATCTGCTTTTAAAGAATATTTCAGATACCTTTTGTTGTAAATTTATTGGGGGGGGGCAGGAAAACAATTAATGATTGTTGTTGTTTAGTCATTAAGTCCTGTCAGACTCTTCGTGACCCCAGCCCTCCTGTCTTCCACTGCCTCCCAGAGTTGGGTCAAAAATGAATGATTACTTTTATCAATTAATGAAGGCAAATATCACTGTAATGGGATAAGATCAACTAATTGTTGCTGAGGCACATCCACCAGTCGTCTTTTGTCCCAAAACACTGTAGTAAATTAGCAACTGTTCAGGTAAACATTGCCTCCAGGTACAAGATGATAAGACAATTTGACATTCAGCCTTCTCACATATTCTTCACTGCCATCTCACTGCTGCTTTAGATATCACATTTATCTGGATTCCTTTTCGACTGGTGTTATGACCATAATGCAACCTGGAATAAATTCTGCACAATGAAATGTTATGATCCACATTGTTAAACTCCAGAGGGGGTAACCATTACTCTAATATAGTAAAGCCAACAAAGAATCTTGTGGCATTTTAAAGACTGACCAATTTATTGTGAGCATAAGGTTTTGTGGACTAGAATCCATCTCATGAGATGTAAGGAATTTTAACACCTTGATATAATGTCAGATTCATCACCCTTCCAGCTGATTTTTCTGAAGTTATTAAAATATTAAATATTGCACCAATTTAAAGAAAAAATAGCAAGCATCCCTTAAAAGCTGTTACAGTGGGGTATTGACTTGAGAACTTAATCCGTATTGGAAGGCGGTTCTCAAGTCAAAATGTTCTCAAGTCAAATCTGCATTTCCCATAGGAATGCATTGAAAACCATTTGATCCGTATCTGCTCTTTTCCGTCCATAGAAGCTAATGGGAAGCTGCTATTCCGCCTTCTACCACTAGAGGGGCATATTTTGTTTCTTTTTTTCTTAGGTCAAGAAAGGTTCAGGGAAGGCAGGGAAAATACAGTCCAGGCAGTACAGTACCAGGCAGTCTGAAGACTCCCAATCCACTCTCTAAACGCTGGGAGGAGTGAGAAAGCAGGCACCCTTTTCACTGGCCAACAGTTAGCTGAAAGTTCACATTTTGCACTTTCCCTGCTTCCCACGTGGTTTTTTTTCAGTTCTTAACTCAAATCTAAGTACTTAAGTCAAGTCAATATTTTCCTATGAGAGTGGTTCTTAAGTCAAAATGTTCTTAACTCAAGTAGTTCTTAAGTCAAGACCCCACTGTACAAATTCCAGCCCTAAATTATACAAGGCAGAGAAACCATCCAAAGCCCTTATACATAAGAATACTCCCTTAACTTGGGTCTTCAATTTCCACTGAACAATATGAAGGATGATCAAAACACGGAGTCTCCTAAATGTGTCTCTTTGGCCAAATTAACCGTTCTATCTCCCTATTATTTCCTATGCAGACTGTCTGCCACAGCCAGCCCCACTACTAAGCAGAGACAGGTGGCCATCTCAAGCAGCAGATTCGGGGTGTCATGAAAAGGTAGCAATTCTCTGCTGGTTACTGCCATAGAAGGAGAAAGGTACTTGTGGGAGTTTCAGCTGCAGATGCCAAAGTAACTTGCCTGGCTTTAGGTGGTATATACAGTGACATGGGGAATAGGTGAGTTATGGTCTGCCTCAGGCAGCACTATGTTTTGGGAGAGTCCCGTCTGCATGCCACATCCTGGAATTGATGGTCTGTACACATTTTTAACTCTGGTCCAATGGATAATACTTGGTGTCCAGTCACAGGAAGGAAAAGACTTCAGCAATTGCCATTGTTTCTTCAATTTTTAATTGGGACTAAAGACTGCAGCAACCAGCACAAAATGGCACACTGGGTTTTCTCCCCTTTCCAGGTTCAGTCGCCAAATGACTGAAAAGCCCTTGGACAAATAAAACAGGTGATGCTCTTTTGCTTTCAAACTTACAACCTTTCCTCCTTCCCTGTTTCCGCCTTTTCTGGAGGAGAATCTTTAATCGTGTCTGGGTGCCTTGAAGACGAATCAAATGAGTTTGAGGCCCAAACGTACACTTGCCCAGGAAAAGACAGGACCACCGGGAACTTTTTAAAACCTCCCTCTTCTGCTTTATTGACAAGTAAATTGTTCAAAAATGTTCTCACAATTCAATAATTACAAAGACCTTAGACTTACATTTAAAAAAAGAGTAAAAATCAGAATATCCTGAAAGCAGTAGTGTCCAGCTCAAATTGAGCCTCCTTGATTTGAGAAAGAGCAAATATTGTCAAACACTTAATGCAAGAGGATTAAATGTTGACTAGAACCACTTGGGTTAAACTAGAGATAAGTGCATGTCCTATACAGTGTTTCAGGAAAGAGTATTAGCTGTTGGGGTAGCGTTAGCCAATAGAAACCAGATTTTAAAACAATTGACATCCAACTGTCATCAAAATTGGCACAGAAGGCACACTAGTGTGACAGTGACAAACTGGATATGCCAGCCACAGAATTAATTACAAGCTTTTTAAATGAGACATAGTCACAATTTCCAGAGGGTGGGTGGGCAAGAAAAATTACTAAATGTATAATACATGGAAGCATGAGATTAAATATACACGCAATGTCACTGCTGCACTTGGGCCATAACAAAATATACAGGAGTGTGTGATGCATGTCTCCCCACCGACATGATCAATACTTTTGATTAGCAATCATGGGGTCCTTCATGCAGGTGAGAATACAATGGACTGGGGAAAGAGGGAAACAGACGACAAGGCTTCCTCATATACACACCCTTCAACATTTCCACTTTGGTTACCGATAAAGAGGCCGAAAATTTTAGTAGTACACAATCCCTTCACAGAAGCAGCCACCAAGGGAGCAATCCCAAGACGATGCTAGCTAGCTATATATTTTTCTTTTAAAAATGCAGGGTATTTTTTTACACTGAAAAACAATGGACCAACAAACCAAGAGAAATTACAAGAAGGTTTGAGAAGATGGATAACAGGAAAAGCAAAGTGTTTCACATCTGTATTTTACTTATTTTTTTTAAAAAAAGCCCTGCCCTGACTAATGAGATCTAAAAAAGCAGGGTAAGGATAAAATGTTACTGAGTAATAGTTTTATGTACATGACTAAAAAGCCAGGAGAAAGACATTTACATAGCTGGGAACGTATGGAATGGCTAAATAAGTTAAAAGGCCACAAACTAGGACTGCTGTTTTCAACTTCCTGACATATTCTACAGATGCTGGAATGGCCCTACAGCTTCCTACCATTCTCCTCAATTTTGAGGGGGGGGGGAACCACAACACACAACATAATATATTTAGCCAAGGATGTAACTAGCCTTGTTTTATTTCCTGCCCAAAAAGTCAGATTTTTTTTCCTAAAAGGATTTCCTGCTAACAAGACATTACATCATCCTATAGAAAAATAATATTCCTGACACTGCATAGTAGTAAAAACTACCAGCATCTCTTCCCTACTTTTTTCCAGCTTAAGTATAAATACTCTTTACCAGTAGCCTTTCTTGTATGCCATGAGCACATCACAGCTGTGCAGAAATGGATCCACCATCGTTTTAAGAATGAACAGTTTTGCACTTAGAAACACCCCAAACTTGATCATGGTAATCATAATGAATTCTCTCCTCCTTTTTTATTCCCTATTCCACCCTAATCTATCATCTAGGTATATAATTTACTTTTGTGCAACACTAGAAATTCAGTATCAGTCTTGGCACTGTTGCTGGAGACAGATGTCCTGCTCTTGAGTACTCCATGGAGCAGCCGATGATCTCAAGTGAAGAACGGGGAGGAGAGGTGTCAGGCTATGCATCGCAGGCTGATTGGTCCAATCCATCTAGGGTCAGCTGATTCCTATGTGGAGAGTTGGGGCTCGGGGGGCCGCTTGGGTTGGAGCTGTTGGAAGGAGTAGAGTGTTTGGTAGAGTCCGAGTCAGGCTGCCAAGAAGAAAAAGAAAAGGCCTTCCAGATACACTGATTTTCAAGTTAAGAATAGGAAAATTATCCTCAATAACCATCTGATGGATGGAGATCCAGGTGACTGTGAGGGAAACAGTACCAACTGGGGGGGGGGGGGAAGAAAAAAACCCTTGTGCATCATGGAAAGTTTGCAAGTCACCTGATGGAAACTCAAGGCAAAAACACTGCTCTATACAAGCACAAATTGGTCTATGGCTTATTTATGCCCTGTCCCTGATAACACAACAGTGGTCTAATATTGTCAAGGAGGCTATAAATGCACTCCCTCAAATGAGGATACTTGCAGGAAAGCCATTAAAGCCCAGTCTTCCCTGCACCAGAGATATCAAACCACAACCTTCACCATCTTTCTACCAGCAGGACCTAGACCCAGTGGTGGTGAACCTTTTTGGGGTCACGTGCCCAAACTGGAAAAAGAACACAGGGGGCGGTGTGCTGCAGTGGCGGAACTGGAAGGTGCCTTGAGACCCCACTCCGGATCCACTGCCAGCACCAACTGCTCCGGATCTGCCTGCTGCAGTGCAAGCACCGCAGCCGCAGCCGCCTTCTCAGGTTTGGCCGTGGGATATATGTGTGTGTGTGTGTGTGTGTGTGTGTGTGTGTGTGTGTGTGTGTGTGTGTTTTCCATCTCTTGTTTTTCAGAGGTAAGGTAGGTTGGATATTATTGTGCCTGTATTGCCCGTGGAAATGCCAAGCTTTAAAAGGGCGTGGTCTGAGGTTGGCGCAGAGGTGAGAGTTGAACTAGGGCAGTGGCACAGAAAGGGCTCAGCGTGCCAGTTGGCACGCGTGCCATAGGTTCACCATCGCTGACCTAGACTGTGCTTCCTTGGAAAAATGCAGATTTTAACTCAATACACTTGAAGTGCACATTGGGAAAGGCTGGTTAAACTTAAGCATCTGGAGTTATTCTCTAGGTATATCTGTTGGCATCTGGTGTGCAAGGCTTCCCTTTTCTCCTAGATGGCTGCCTGGACAGTTTCCCAGTACTTTGGAACGCAGTTGACTCGTGACAATACACAGCTTCACTGCAGAACAGCTACTGTGGCAGTCAATTTAATTGGGGAGGAAGAATTTATATTTAGCCCATAGATTAAAAGGTGATATCTGCAGGAGATACAGTTGACAAGATTTTGCTGTGGGTGTAAACAGTAAGTTTGTCTATAATGTAATTATTTAGACAAGATCAGCCAGGGAAAGCTGTGATAAGGCAACAAGCCATGAAGCAGAACCAACTAGAGCTTTATGCTGTGGTATCTATAAAAACAAACATACAAATCCCAAGTGTTAGTTAAAACCCAAGCATGCCAACTACAATGAAGCATAAATTGAGGATGTCACCTAACACCTGGCATGCAAAGGGACTTGTAAACTATATCTCCTGCTTTACATCACTCAGGATGGAGTCCCCCAGTGGTGATTTTTAAAGTCACAACAGGGCAAAAACATCACAAAGCCAGCTCTTCTGAAAGAATCTCTTTTCTGTTCCTTGAGGAGGGCCACCTAACTTCTTATCTCTGAAAATACAGCTGGTGGTGTTGGGAGACTGCGGCAGATGTCCAATCCAGCTATTAATGGTTTACTCAGTGTGGTGAGCAATATGCTAGAAAGAGCCTGGGAAAAAAAACCGAGGGTGCCACTTCTAGTACTGCTTTTCATACTTAGTATGAACTGTTATCAAGAATCATTAACATCTACAAAAGTGATCCACAGCTCCAATTTGGTTTCTAGAAATTATGGCTTTTAATACCAACTTGTTTCTATACAGTGGTGCCTCGAATAGCGAGCGCCTCTATTAACGAAAAAACTGAATAGCGATTTGTTTTTTGGGGAATTTTTTCGCTTTGATTAGCGATTTTTCCTATGGGCAATTTTTGATTAGCAATGGTTGGGGTGGCAGTGGCGGCGGGGGAAGGGAAATGGCCCGGGCGAGCGGCGCTTTGGCCGGCTCGCTCCTCCAGGGCAGCGGCGGGGGAAGGGAAAAGGCCCGGGTGAGCGGCGGCCACCCATCTCCCGGTGGCCCAGCCAGGCCTCCTCTGGCTCCGGCTCCTCCTGGCTGCGCTGGGGGTTGAGGGAGAACAAAGGGACCCACCAGGCACACCCCCCCGGCAGGCAGGGACGGGCGGGCGGCCCCGACACTCCTTCTGGGCTGGCTGGCTGGCTTCCTCCTCCTTCCTCGCTCCCTCGCTGGCTAGCTTTGTTCTCTTTTTTAATTTGTTGTTGGATTCCACCCCCCCCTTGAGATGAATTGAATAGGTTTCAATGCATTTCAATGGGGGAACCGCGTTTTGATTAGCGAGGTTTCCCATGGAGATTTTTGAATAGCGACAGCAATTCGTTCCTATTGGAACGGATTAGCTGGCTTTCAATGCATTTCAATGGGAAACCGCGTTTTGAATAGCGAAGAAATCCAATAGTGTTTTTTTGCGGAGCGGATTAACATCGCTATTGGAGGCACCACTGTACACTGTAATGACAAGAGGCTTCTAGACTGAGACTACAGCGCAGCTGATAGCACTTGACTACGCCAGAAAAAAAGCAGGACGAACGTGGTGAGGCCGGAATTGCCCTGGTGCAGCATGCTTGAGGAGCTTCTTTCCCATCCAAGTGGTGCTTGCTAAGGTGCAGTGATTGATGCCTCTTCTTAAGGAGACCCACAGTCTGCTCTGGCATCTGGACCCACAGGCTGAGAAACCTAGATCATGACTTCCTGCTGTGTGCTGAATGTGGTGGTTGCTGATCAAAGTCCTCCTTCATGGAGGTTCATGCAAGCCTGGGAATACTGAGACTTGGCACTCTATTTATGCAAAAATAAGTGTGCATAACCAAATAAAGCACCATTCCCTCACTATATTCATGTGTCGTCATCAATATATGGAAGGTAGCACCTCAGCCTCTCTCACATATGCTGTCACTTGTTGCCCTTTGAGACCTGGGAGAACAGAGTCTAGACAGGCACAGCTTCCCCTCTCTGTACGGGATCTCTGTAAGGGAGCTAAAATACTGAATATATCAGGATTCCGTCCTACGCAGACAGAGTTACAGACAATGGAATCTGCTTCTGTTTTTATCCAATGCATAGCAGAATATGGAGAGAAAGATGATGGGGCTAGAGTGCTTCCCTCTCAGGGACAGGGACATTTTTCACTCATGGATAGGCCCATTCGTGGCTGCCTCAAACCTTAGTGCAGCTGCATTTTTTCTTCCTTATTTGCCCACTAATCTTGCTAGTCATGCCTCTTTCTTCTGGTTCTTCAGACATCTGATGAATCAGACAAGCTTCCCACTGGACTGTGGTATCGCATACCTTAGGGACCGTGTGGTGTAGTGGTTAAAGTGATGGACTAGGACACAAGGAAACTCACTGGGGTGGGTAATGGCAACGGTTGTTGTTGTTGTTTAGTTGTTAAGTCGTGTCCGACTCTTCGTGACCCCATGGACCAGAGCACGCCAGGCCCTCCTGTCTTCCACTGCCTTCTGGAGTTGGGTCAAATTCATGTTGGTCGCTTTGATGACACTGTCCAACCATCTCATCCTCTGTCGTCCCCTTCTCCTCTTGCTTTCACCCTTTCCTAGCATCAGGGTCTTTTCCAGGGAGTCTTCTCTTCTCATGAGATGGCCAAAGTATTGGAGCCTCAGCTGCAGGATCTGTCCTTCCAGTGAGCACTAAGGGTAATGGCAACGGTAACACTGCCCTTAAACATCTCACATACCTTGAAAATCCTATTAGAATCAGTTTACGTTGGTCATGACCTAAAGGTATATGCCAACGGTTCCCGACTTTGGGTCCCCAGATGTTCTTGGACTATAACACCTAGAAATCCTGATCAGCACAGCTAGTGGTGATACGTTCTGGGAGTTTTAGTCCAAGAACATCTGGAGACCCAAGACTGGGTATATACTGTAAAATCTCCAGTATATACTGTAAAATCTGGCACCATGACTGAATAGTTTGTTAAAGAAATGTACCACAATGCTTTTGTGTTGCTACTATAATCAGGGAGGAGACAAGAAACAAAACTGGTTCTACCTTCTTTTGCTTCTGGCTTCAATTACCATCTTAGCTGCTCCTGATGAAGAAACGTTTTCACTTGAAATGTCCATTGTCACTTTGCTGAGTGTTTACTCTGTCCCCTTCTCATGTGGCAACAGGCAAAAATAACTTTTCCTCAGTCAGGCGCAGAGGCAGATTTCTCCACATAACATCAACAGCTATGCATAACTATTTGGAACCAAATGATGCCCACAGATAAAGCTCACCTCTTTGTCAAACTCCTGGTCAGGATCAGACATACTTCGCAATGGCATGGCTGCTCCCAGATCCGTGCCACCTGCAAAGGAAAGATGTCTGATAATCTCTCCTGCAGGATGCTTATAAAACAAAAGTCTATAAATAGATTTGCTTCTACTGTTACCTGAAGATGGCCACGAAATGTAGCTTTTGTTTCTCTGAGGCGCTTGGCGTGAAATGCTGGTTGTGGGAGGACAAGCCTTTTCATCTTGTGAAGAAGGTAAGACACTCTGAAGCAGAAATGCAGGCACAGTCAATTAGGCAAGACATTTTCAACACAAGTTTCTTCTCTGAGAAACTTCTACCAGAGATATGAAAAAAAAAAACCCTCTTTAAAGTTTCCCTTTGTTCAGTCATACTGTATGGTGAAACTGTTATACACTTGCCTTGCATGACCAGTGAAAGCCATGCAGTATGAAGTTAGGTTAAGAATCATTCTACCCTTCAATGTTATCGGCCAATTTATTCGCGAAGGCTTTCATGGCCAGGATCTAATAGTTGAATATTGGGTTTTTCGGGCTCTTTGGCTGTGTTCTGAAGGTTGTTCTTCCTAACATTTTGCCAGTCTCTGTGGCCGGCATCTTCAGAGGACAGGAATAGCACTCTGTGCTCTGCTGCAGTTTGTTTGGGTTGAGTATTTATAGCTGTGGGATCAGCTTTTGTTCTTTTCAGGAGATGGATGATTATGGTGATCAGTGTGTTTTTGTTGTGTGTGTATTGTTGTGATAAGGAGGAGAGATTATCTGTCACTGTGACTGATGGGTGTTGTTAGCTGGTCTTTTGTGTGTAGTGATCACCCGTCCTTGTGGCTGGGTAGAGTTAGTTGATCGTTTGCAGGCTGGATTTTTCAGTGCTGGGAGCCAAGCTCTGTTGAGTTTTAAACTTTCTTCTTTTTTGTTGAAACTCTACTGGTGTTTCAATGGCTGGTGTTTCAATGGTTTTC